TGGGGGCGCCCCACCTGCCGGCTTCCACCGAGGCTTTGCAAAGCCGCGGAGGTGTGCCTGGGCTGCCCCGCTGCCCGAGCCCCTCCGCGGCTTTGCTCCGCGGCTTCCTGGTCTGCAGACCAGGGAGACGCAGAGCAGCTTTTCTCGCCCCGGAGTACACGGGCGGCGGGACCACAAGGTCCCGCAGTCCGTGTCCTCCTGGGCGAGAAAAGCCCCGTTCGTAACTGCGGATCTGACATAAGTCGGATCCACGTAAGTCGGGGACTGCCTGTATATCCAGCAGCTTTAATATTGAGGGCTAAATGGTTGCCCAGAATAGTGGGGAGAAAGACCCTGTCCTCCAAATGCCTGTGTAATTGCAATAAACCTGCATCCTGATACCCCCTTCCTTCTCTACACGTAAGTGATGGGAAGGGGACTAGAGAAGAAAGAGCCATGACCCCATCCCTCCTACATATCAGCCAGTGCAGCTGGACAGATGCAGCTTGTGTGTGTGAGTATAGGGAATGGAATGGAGGGATATGATGCATTCTGTAAAAAGTTCTTAAGAGCATAAGAAGGGAACACTGGAGATATGGTGTATCAGCCAAACCTCTGCAGCACTGTATGTCTTGAACAGTGCAGCTTGGTCAGGGCTGAGTCAAAACATTAGTTTAGGGCAGGCCTAAGTGAATAACTAAACAGAGGTGGCCAAGAAGTCAATGCCAAATGCAGCTTGAGCTGCATCTGTACTGTTGATTAAATGGAGATTTCAGTTTAAAGTCCTGCTGCTTTTAAAACTTAGAACTCGACAATCTCTACATACATGAGGCTGATTTAATTGAGCTTTGTCTGCTTCTGCATGATGATGCTCTGCTTGGTGTAGACGATGGTCTTGCAGTAAATATGATTCCTTGAGAGTAGGGACGTAAGCCACTGAAATCTTCTGCACTCACCACTCTGGCCATGGTCCCTGGGGAATTTAAAAACACAATTACAACACCACTATAGAGGCTACGACACAAAAGGAAACAATTTGACTAATCAGAGTATCAAGAAGCATAAAAGTTGACAATGAAAAGAGGTCCAAGTTGCTGTGGAAGATTCTGACTGACAAAGAATCAAATCTGGCCATACAGATGCAAAACTCTTTTGAACTGTTTTTTGGACATTTAAGTTTGCTCTATTTGGGCACTTTCAAATCAGTGTTTCAGAGCAGAAGACTAAATCATGCCTCAAATAATAAACAATTAGCTATTTGAATTTTTTTAAATGGCATTAAATTATCTTGAGGAGATGTTTATTAAAAGATTAAAAAAAAACATTTGCTTGCTTCTTTTTAACTCTTTTCTAAAAGCAATAATATACTTCAAGATGAACTGTGTTAAATAATTACAGTTCTTGCAGATTGCTATAGGTATTGCAGGAAGACAATGCAAAAACTGTACATTTTACAGTTCCTCAATGACTGCTTTATTTACAATGTGTTGTTAGATTTTTCTGGTGAGAAAATCAGGGCAAACTACATGCAAAACCAGCAAAGTGGAGTTCTGAAAAGATAATGGTGTTTTTGTCTCTGAGGCAGTGTCTAAACCAAGTGGTCAAGATCTACACTCTTCCATGATATTAATGGAGGAGGTACGGGGTCTGGGATGGAGGTTGGGTGCAGAAGGGAACTTGGGGTAAAGGATTGGGGTACAGAGGGAGAGAGGTGTCTGGGAGGAAATTTGGGTGGAGGAGGCAGTTGTGACCTAGGGTAGGGGATTAGGATGCAGGAGTTTGGGTTGTAACCTGGGGTAGGAGGGGATTCTGATCTGGGGCAGGGAAGTGGAGTTCCTGGGAGGGGATAAGGGTACAGGAGGGGGGCAGAGTGTTTGGGTATGTTGGGGGGGGGTAGAGGGTAGGGGAAGAGAAGGGGTGGGGTGCCAAAAGCAGGCTCTGGCCAGGAGACTTACCAGACAGCAGCCCAAACAGCCTGCCTGCAGAACTAAATGCTTCCAGAGATTAAAAAGCTTCTCAGCCTGCCTGCCCCATGCCTGTACAGACTGCACGGCCACATGCTTGTGTGAATAACTGAGCAGGCGGGGAGGGGAGCGTGGTGCTTTATGTGCTGCCTGTTTCAACAGGCAGCTCCCATTGGCCAGTTTCCGGCCAGAAGCCAGCCAATGGGATTGTGCTGGGGGCAGGATTTATGCCTGAAGCCTCCTCCCCTCCCCACCTGGGCTCATAGATTTTAAAGAGGAACGGCCCCACAGCCACTTTTCTGAGCAATGTGCAGGGCTGTGGGGCAAGCAAAGGAGCCTGCCTGGGACTCCCCACTGTGTCTGCTGGTTGGATCTGGCGGCTTGGTGGGTCAGATCTGGCCCACAGACCGTATTTTGTCCAGACTTGGTCTAAACTGTAATGATATAATGTTACATATTATATATATTCTTTTTCTCTAAAACATACTGGGACATTTGGCTCCATCTATCAGAAATAGCTATATGTTTTCAGTGCCAATAGAATTGAAGATTCTAAAACAACACCATCCAAACACTTTCAGCACTGTTTCTTAATAATTTTTTTACAAAATGTAGGCTATTCTCCCTTCAGATATTGGACCACATTTATCTCTACTGGAATTCTACTGTTATTAGAGAAGAATGAACTTGATCTCTAGGATACATTTTCAAAGACCCTATCTCCCCACTTTTTTTTTTTTTCAAGAATAGTTTGCACTGTTATGGTATGTCTACACAGCAGCATTATTTTGGAATAACTGTCTTTATTCCAAAATAACACAGTCTGCGTCTACCCCACAAGCAATTATTTCCAGAGCTCGACAAATCAGGCAATCTACTCTCCCGTGGCGAGTAGATTTTAGCCTGGTGTTGCCGCTCAGCATGGTCAGCGCATGCACAGAGTGTACTTCCGTGTGGCTGCCGAACAGGGCTCGCTGCCGCTTGGCGAGCCCTGATTATTTCGACATAATGTCAAGCTGGAGGACTTCTTACTCGAACTCCTGTAACCCTCATTGTATGAGGAGTAAGGGAAGTCGAAGGAAGAGTGTTCTACCTTTGACTTCCTGCTGTATACACAGCACCTAAAGCCGAGTTAAGCTATTTTGACTTAAGCTACGCAATTGACAAAGCTGATGTTTTGTAGCTTAATTTGACTAGCCCTGCTGTGTAGGCATACCCAGAAAGTTTGCATTCTACAAAAATGAATGACAAGCACAAACTGGAACATTCATGCCTCTGGCTTCCTGATCTGTGTCCACAGTTAGCTTATTTGAAGGCAAAAATTTCCTTCTTATGCCTGCAAATGGCACCTGAACTTCCAATAACAGATGCAACATGCGGGTGCAAATTTTGGAAATGCAAATACTATTTATAATGAAGGAGGATGCCTTTTTGAAAACATAGCCCATTATGAACAAATAACTACTGGCATATACCTAGATCTAGGCTAAGCCATCCTTATGTACAATGAAGCAGAAATGACAGAGCAAGTATAAGATGTTACTCTTATAGGGGAAAAAAAAGAGTACTGTACATCATTTCACTAAATAGGGGAATTGGAAATAACACAAAAGGGTTAAGGCTTGCATGGCCTACAGCCTAAGATTATTAGGAAAAAAATTAATAATTGGGTGAATTTATTTCCATGTTTCATAACAGAAATTAAACACACCATTTCCTGAGCAGACAAGCCCCACAATGTCCAAGGCAGCAAAACTAGTAGTCTGTACTTTACAGGTGCACTTTTTGGCTGGTATCCTGCCTCTGTAGCCATCAAAAAAAGAAAAATTAGCCCCAAGCAAAACATTGCTTCTTTCTTCATCTTTTATGTAGAAAACATCTTTCCTCTGCATTTGCACAGAGTCCTAATGTCACCACCTGAGCAACCAAATGTCTGACATACTTCCAGCAGTTGATATGACATCTCCACTCTTTAAACTGTAGATAAGTATGATCTGATTCCCAGGAGGTCGTGGAGCTCAATAAACACATTCCTAAACTGCAAGGCCTATTTTTCGACAAATACTAGCAGGCAATGGAGCAAACAAATGTGAACTCACTAACATTTCTGTCTCAAGGTGTTAGTCGGTGTGGATGTTTGTTTTGAGATGAGACTCTCTAAGTTAGAGATGTCATTCTTGATGTTTTTCTGTTTCTTGTATAAAATACTTATCAGGTGGTTCCTTAATTTCTTAGATAGTGTGAGGCAGAGTCTCTCTCTGTAGTCAGTACAGTATGTTGATCTTAATGGATTGTTCACTTTCAGTCCTTTGGGTATGATGTCCATCTTCTTGCACTTGGATAGAAAGAGATCTGTCTGTATCTGTGCAAGTTTTTTCATATGGTTGATGGATTTCCATTCCAAACGGCTAAATGTAGTGCCTGTGTAGCACTGCGGCTTTGAAACCCAAAGGCAGCATTTTAAAGGGGCAGTGCCACACAGCTGAGCCAGAGATCAGCTGTGCGGCAGCTGCCCCTTTGAAACGCCGCCTCGGCGTTTCAGAGGGTCAGCCATGGAGCCCGGGGTCAGCTGGGACTCCCCAGCTGATCCTGGGTATGTGCCACACGGAACGTGCCACGGGGACATGCAACGCGTGCCCAGCGGGGGCTCTTGTACATTTTAAAGAAGGAATACAGAAGTGCCTATCGACTAGTCGAGTAGGAATTCCATGGAATTTCCATCGACTACTCAACTAGTCGATAGGTACTTCCGCATTCCTCCTTTGAAATTAACCTCTTAGTCATTAACCTCAGTTTAACATCCCTAGTGTATATAACCAGGCCCACAGAGGAATTTTTAAATACATTATCAATAACCTCATGGCCAGATCTTCAGATGGTGTAGACCAGAATAGATCCATTGATGCTGATGACTTCAGGGGAGCTAGAGCAATTTATATTCACTGAAGATCTGGCTCTCTGTTTCAATTTAAATATATTTATTGGTATGACAATAGAGATGAATGTGTTCCCTAAATCCATACCTCAAATTTCTATGTGATGGGTACATTTCACAGTGACAGGAACGCCAACAGAATTTCTAGGCCCCTGAGTAAGTGGGAGGGGGAGTGGTTCCACATTCCCAGAAGGGGCAGGACCTTGGGCAAGGTAAGGGGCAATGCAGCCAGGCCTCAGCCACCAACTGAACTGCGCCATGCTTTCCCCTCCCTCCGGCCAACCCATCACGCCACCCGGACTGTGCTGCCCTGGGCTCTGGCAGCAATTTGCAGTAGCAGCAATGACAACTGAGAGCCCCAGGCTGTTCTGATTTGCCAGGCCCTAGGGGCTGCACTGTGGTTATGGGACAGATGGGTTTTACACAACAGTTCCATTTCGTATTCCATTTCTGGTTTGGTGGAGGATTGCAGAAACAGCCTGATGATATGTGGCATTCTTTTTCTTTTCTCGCAAATATAAATTGATTTCCTGACTTTTTAGGTTATTGTACTGCTGCTATTTCCTCATACTGTTTTTGTATTTATTATATTGTGTATTGTGAGACAGAAAAATGTTTTGGCTGCATTTTATTTTTTTCAAAACTCCCAGTCTTCTTACAAAACTCCCAGCCTTCTTCTTTTCATACACAGATTGGGGATCAGAGTACTGTATACTTATTTATCCCTTGCTTTATCCTCTCGCTTGCTTGCTTGATAGCCTTTTATCACCATAATCGACAAAGAAGTAGTAAGGATACAAGCTACACCTCATAACTGAGCTTTCACAATCTTTCTTGACATATCTGCCTCTCTGAAATTAATCCTGAAGCCTTGAATTAACATACTGCTACTCTATGTCTATTACCCCACCTCATTCTTTTTCCAGGACTTGATGGGGAGAAGCTGATTCTTGACAGCTTGCGTATTTAAATCTGGATTATGCTTTATCCTTGAACTAAAGCAAAAGTTTAAGGTGCCATTTTCCCAACATTGTGAGGCCCTCCAAACCCAAGCAAAATAGGAACTCTAGCTCTTAGCATAATGAAGCAGCTGCAACTTTCTGACTTCTAGTAGGGGAACACAGCACCTCAAAAAGCTCAGGGATAAGGCGAAACAACAGGTCTACACTCTCTCCTAGCAGCAATCATACACAGCTGGCAGTGTGCCATATAAAGGATGGTAGTATTAGGGGTGGTGGTGGCAAGTATGCTGCCTCTGAGCACCTGGGAGTTGTCATAATAGCTGGATTTACAAATGTACTCTAATTGTCAGTTTCACTGTGAACATTCACGAAGGGTTACAATAACCTATAATAATACATGTTAATGGTGAAAAGTTGCCAAAGGGAAACAGAAAAACTGGATGAGTGCACAGAAAAAGGACTACTGCAATAATTCAACAGGTGTATGAAAGTCAGGCATGGTAAACAAGAGCAGCGTGAGGGATTGCCTAACTGTGGCCTGAGTTTGCAGAAGGATGGCTGGGTTAGAGTCAGGCACAGTGCTAATATCTGCCTAAAGACATAGAGGCTGGGATGCAGGGGTAGGATGGGTGGGCAAGCCCTGCCCTCCCCAGCTGAAAGGAGACTGAACACTGATACTATTGTCTTGAAGTATGAAGGAGAAGCTGCAACTGATGAGGAATAGTGTAAGACCAGGAAAAAGAAAAAAAAATACCAGCTATATCAGGATTAGAAGGAGGAATGCATAGAAATGAGAAACAAACCAGGACTAAAGGCACTATTTCATAATTGTTCAATCAGTGCCAGAAGATGTAAATATAGGAAATATTAGTCCTCTGAAAATGGTGGAATGGCTAAAGTAAAAGTGATTGTGCAGATCTATCGATAGAATGTACACATAAGGAGAAAGCTGAAAAACTTCTTAAAACTATAACCCTCGGGAAAATGAAAGATAATTCTCAACTGCCTATATTCCTGACACAATCCAGATGGGCTATGTATGGAGTGCCAATAAGATTCTCAGAGAATGGTAGTGAGAAGAATATATATGAAGATTAAGTATAGTTCGTTAAACAGCTACTTATAAAAGAGAAGGAGAAAACTAGCCATCTATGGTGGCATACATATCACTGAAAAGTGGGACACTTCTGTACAAGATCCAAATAGGGTATCATTCTTTCTGGGTTAAGCCATATATCCCCTTCTCTGCCCCTCCGAGTGATTTATTTGTCAACAATTTCGACACATGGCAATCATTTGAAAGGGAACAATGAGTATATGTGGAGGAAATCACTCACATGAAAACTGTGTAAAAGGAACAGAACCTAAATGCAGCAATTGTGGGAGAAATCACAGTGTGGCATATAAATGATGTGCAGCAGCAGAACAAGCTACAAAAATACACAAGATTAAAATCATTAATATAGTAAATCACATGTGGAGACTAGCAAAAAAGTGCCCACTGCAGAAAAGAGCAAAATACTCAGAAGGTAGAGGGGCAACAGAACATATATCTGATCAGGAAAGAGAATATGAGAGGAATGGGAAAGCATGTATTACTTGTAGATAAAGATACGTTTATAGTATTTATTACAGAAATAATTGAGTGCAACTTGCAGATGGGGATAAAAACTGAAAGGATTTAAATTATAGCAAAACAGCAGAAAAAAAATCTAAAAATAGACAGCCTCTCCATAAACTGTATTTATGTGATTTTACATTAAGGCAATAATACAGCTTAAATAACATGGTCTTAACTATCCTTAGCTAAAATGTACATAATAGTTTAATAAGGCAGGGATGGAAATTTTCCATCTTTGACATGGGAAAAAAGTCTGAGATGTAGGTGTGCAAGAAATGTGACTAATAAGGAAATCTATGTCAATCTATAAGGAAAGGATCTCCAGAGGGACTGAGAGGCTACCAGACAAGGGGTGGCTCTGTATATATGCAAAAGAGGGATTTGTTTATATAGAAATCAATCTGCAAAAACTAAGTTTTTAATGTAATGCTATTGAGATTCCCATACTGAACAAAACACATATATAGATTTATGTTTATGATCCATGAAAATATTACCTGTTTTAGAATCAGAAAAATTAGTTAATGTTAAAAACCCTTTCATACTTTGCAAAGACTTTAATAGTTATAAGGAGCTATGCAGAAGTAAGAAAACTGGCCTAAATGGTAAGTGCATAGAACAATGTATTGTTTTGCATAACCTGGTAACATTGAGTACAGGAGCACCTGCTAGGTTTAATTCAGATGATGGATCCTTTTCTGTTTTAGATTTGTTAAATGCAAAAAAATATATAGCCAGTAAACGCAACTGGAAATTCATGAAAGCGATGGAATGGGAAGTAATCACTAAGTACTAAGGCCAAGGAAATATTAAAAGCATTCCTAGAGCAGACTTTTCAAGATTGACTGTGTTGAATATTTATGTAGTATCCATACAAGTGACAACTTAAGGGAATTCTACAACAATGTAATAAAAGGAATTATAGCGGAAGCTGATCAGGCCATCTACAAAACATCAAATTGCCCCAGACTTAGAAATCCAGTTCCCTGGTGGAATGAAGTTTGCAAATTAGCAATTAAGGAAAGAAATAAGGCATACAAGCAAGCAAAGCACACCATGAATAGTAAAAACAACAAATTATAAATAAATTGTAATGCAGTGGTGCGAAGCATTGTCAAAAGAGGGAGGGGAGAAATTGTGAGAAATTGAACAAAGATTTTAACCCCTTAAAATATATTAGTAAATTCAAAGAATGAATGGAATTCAAAGTAAAAATAAATGTATACCAGGTCTTATTGTAAACAATGAAACGGAGGTCTCAAGTTTAAGAAAGGAAGGTAAACAT